AACGTCACCCCAACTCCTCCTACGNAACCCCCCCCCCCCCCCCCCACCCCCCCTCCCGCGACTCTCCCTCTCCAGCCTCAGAGCTGCCAATTGGTTTGATAGCCAACGTTGCCGTGGTCTCACACATCTCTACGACACTTTATCTCCAGGTTTCGTTTCATTTCGTTTTTTTTTTTATTCTGGCTGGCGATATCCCTTTGATCTCCCAAAGAACACGATTCAAAATGACCGAGACGACGTACCGTGCCAACTGCCACTGCGGCAAATTTGTCTACGAGGTGACTTTCCCGGAGCCTCTTTCCAAAGGGGTTGTCTGCAACTGCAGCATCTGCCTTCGCAAGGGCTATGTCTTTGTCTTCCCGCCCAAGGACAGCGACATCAACATTGTCAAGGGCAGCATCGACGACCTCGAGTCGTATACCTTTGGCAAGAAGGCGTTCAATCACAAGTTCTGCGGCGACTGCGGCTCGCCCCTCATGGTTGTGCCCAGCGACAGCACCAAGGGCAAGGGCTTGAACGCGCGCTGCTTCCAGGGCCCGGTCGACGTCTGGGCCCTCGAGAAGACCGACTTTGACGGCGCTGCGCTGGATCCCAAGTTTGAGCCTGTCCCGTTTACCGGCACCGAGCCCACGGGCGCGCCCCAGGGCGATGGCTCCGCCACGCCGCGCATCTACCATGGCAGCTGCCACTGCGGCGCTGTGCGCGTGGCCTTGCGCTCGCAGCCGCTGGACGAGACGCTGGACCGCGAGAAGCAGGGCGACCGCGTCGTCGAATGCGACTGCAGCATCTGCCAGCGCAACGGCTGCCGCTGGTTCTACCCCATGGCCGACCAAGTCTCGTTCCACGACCCGGACAACAACCTCAAGGTTTACTCGTTCGGCAGGTTCGTCAACAAGAAGAGCTTCTGCAAAACCTGCGGCGTCTGCTTGTCCAACCCGCCCACAAACCTGTCGGACGAAGAGATTGCCAAGCTGCCACCCATTGCGCAGACCGAGACGAGCGCTGCCTGGCGCAAGCGCCTTGTCAACTCGTGCCCTATCAACACGCGTGTTCTGTACGACGTGGACATTGACAAGCTGCCCGTCCGGCATGTTAATGGCTACACCCTGATTCGCCCCGAGTACGTCAACCCTTAGATGCTCTCTGAGAGGCTGCCAATTGTGATGAATACTACAAAAGTGATTTGGTCCGAGTTATGTGAGCGTGGGTTTCTGAGCGGGTGTGCGGTCGTGCGTGTTCTTGTTTGGCGAGTGGACAAGTGGACGAGTGGAAGACTATCTCCTCCAATGAGGCTCTTTTGTCAACGTTTTCATTATTCTTTTTTTCGGGCAGAGTTTGCTCTGACGCCAGCTGCCTGTTTTTTTGGGTGTGGGGGGAATGATTTCGGCTTGAAATGTATTCTGTACCTCGAATTTCATATTCAAATACAAGTTTTGGGTGTCCCACGCTCTACCTGCTCTACTCAACCTCGTCCCGCCACGGGATTGAGTCCTGCGCGCCCTTGCGCTGCACCGTCTTGGCGGCTGCCCGGTTGGACTTGCGCACCGCCGCCGCGCAGTCAAACGCCTTGCCGGCCGCCGTCGCGTACACAGCCTCCAGGGCATACTGACCAGCAAACGTGTCGCCCGCGCCCGTCGTGTCCACCACGCGGGCCACCTTCTCCGGCGGCAGCAGCTGGCCCGCGCCGCTGGCTGACGCCGCCGATGCATAGTATACGCCCCGGCCACCCAGCGTCATCACCACATTCTCCACGCCCAGTGCCAAAAAGTAGGCCGCCGCCCGGGCCAGACAGGCCTCCGTGTCCAGATCGGCCACCGTCAGCGCCGGCACCAGCGCTGCCGTCTCTGTCTCGTTCAGGACGAGGTGCGCCAGGCCCTGGCCCTTGCCCAGATGGCCCACCGTCACCGCAAACGCCGCCTCCAGCTGCGACCGCGCCTCCTCGGTCGCCGGTGCCGGTGCCGGGTTCAGGAGCACCGGGATGCCCGCCGCGCGCGCCTCGCGCAGCGCCCGCAGGACCTGCTCCAGCGGGATCTCCAGCTGCAGAATCAGCAGCTGCGTGCCCGCCGGCACCAGCGACTGCGACCCCGCCTTGTCGTCAATCTGGTAGTTGGCCCCTGGCGAAAAGATGATGCGGTTCTGCCCCGTCGGCTCGTCCACCACAATCACCGCCACGCCCGAGGGCACGCCCCCCGCCTGGACCACCTGCACGCCCGACACGTCCACGCCGTGCGCCGCCAGGTTCGACCGCAGCGCCGTGCCGTGCGCGTCGTCGCCCACCGCGCCCACCATGCTCACGTGCGCTGTGGCCGCTGTGGTCGACAGGGGCGCCTGGCCGCCGGCGGCCGCCGGTGCCCGCGTGCGCGACAACTTGGCGCATGCAATGGCCTGGTTGGCGCCCTTGCCGCCGGGCGATACGGCAAAGCCGTTGGAGGTCATGGTCTCGCCGGGCTCGGGGTGGTGCGATACGTACGAGACAAGGTCCATGTTGAGCGAGCCGAGGACAGTGATGCGCGGCAGGCCGTCGCTGGCCATCGCTGAGGAGGCCATTGTGTGTGAGGGTGGTACGTAACGTCGCGTAAAGGTCGTTACCTTGTCAGTTGTGTGAGTGGTTTGGTGTTTTGGTGTTTTGGGCGTGTTGCAAGGTTTGTGTTGGTGTTGTGTGTGTTCTCTTGAAGATCCTGTTCCCAGTCTCTTTGGAGACGATGTTGGCACCCGTTAAAACGATCTGCTGTCAGTGAGCGTTAGCGGGGCAAGTGGCTCGACATGGGCCACACAAGGCCTTAACAAACCACTAAAGCGAAGAAGTCTTGGCTCGCCCCAATATAAAAGCAAGTCGCGTGTCTCGTCTCTTTTTGTTAGTTCTACAAAGTTTGCAAGTATGCGGCAGTAGTCTCGTTGGAATGGTTTCAGTGAGTGCATGCACCCACCGAATATATTGGAATTTCTTTCGGGCTCTTTCTGTATCTAAGCTCCTGGAGGACAGTTCCCCATAAATCCTAAACCAGCAAACCTGCCGTGGCTCTCTGTTGCCTATAAAAACAGAACCAAGCCATAAAAAGGTCTTTCGAGATCGTATCTTGACCACTTGAACCCAGAACCCCAAACGCCAAATATAAAAGTATTAAGAAAATTAGGAAATAATAGAATATGTAGAACAAAGTGGTATCACATCAGGGTCGTTTACAACGAGAATATAGGAAAAATAGTGCAAAAAGGAGAGTGAGAGAGTGAGAAAGTGCAAGAGCAAAGGAGAGTAGGACAGACAGTTCTGTCTCGAATCTCGGCACGCAAAAAAAGGCCATTCAATTCGATGCCTTTCTCTTCTTGGCCGGGCGTGTCGACGCATCGCCGTTTTTGCCGGCCTGTGCCGACGCCGCCGGACGGTTATGCTTGCGCGGCTTCTTGGCCACCACCTCGTCGCCCTCGACAAAGTGGTTCTTCTCCAGCTGGTGTTGCCGCAGGTTGTCCGGGCGGTTGCGGTACTGGCTCGTGCAGTTGGGGAACGGGCACTTGTAAATCACCTCGGCCGAGTGCTTGGTGAGCCGGTGCTTGGCCATCGACCCGCGGAACCACTTGGGGTCGCCCTTGGGCCGGTAACCACACAGCTCGCAGCAGTCGTCCGCCTCGACCTCGACCTTTGCCGCCTTGGTTGCGGCGTCGCTGTCTTCCGCCGGCGCCGCGTCGCCCTCAGGAGCAGCAGCAGCCGCCGACTCGTCGTCCGCCGCAGCCGGCATCAAGGTCTCGTCCATGGACAGCAGATCCGCCTGAGACAGGTCTGCGGTCTCGTCGGTAGGAGGCAGCACGTGGGCCGCAAGTTCCTTGCCCGTCGTCGTATCGGTCACGACGCTCGAGAGCAGGTTGTCCGACAGAAGCGAATCGTCCAGCACGGACGACACGACCTTCATGCCCTGCGACAGATGCACGTTCTTGGACGTGTCAAAGATTGTGCGGAGAAGGGCGATGCTGGCAACGTGGTACATGGGCCGCAGCGGTGTGTCGTGGGCCGCGTACATGGGATCACACAGCGACCGCGTCTGGCGCACAAACTGGTCAAAGAAGAGCACAGACGTCCCCAGAGAGGCCTTGCCGGCATGCAGGAGCTTGATTTCGAACCACCGGACACTGTCAACAAGACCATTGCTGGTATGGCCCGCGTTCTGAGAAGCGTGACCATCGTCCAGCAGGCGTGCAATCGCATCGAGGCGAGTGTTCAAGCCGGCGACATGGGGGAAGTTGCGACGGAGCGAATCAATGACGGTGCGGGCGTGCGACGACAGAGCGGGCGAGTTGCGGATGTTGTTGTTTCTGTAGGGACCAAAGTGGAGCGAGTAGATGGGCGAGGCCTTGATCAAATCAGACGCAGTCGAAAGCGGCACAAACACGGTGGAGATTTCCAGGTCGTCCAAGAAGGCGCGGGCGGCATTGGCCACGGCACCGTCCAGCGAGAGCGACGAAACGGCGCGGTTGGCAGCGTGTTTGCGGAAACGGCGAATGCGTTCAGACAGGACAGCAGCAGTCATCTCGACGGGCTGCCAGATCAGGGAGACGATTTCCAGGTAGTTTTCACGGTCCACGGCGCTGAAATGACGGGAGTACTCGAGAGACTGGTTGAAGAGGGCACTGGACCGCAGCGCGGCCTCCGACTCGTACGTCACAAGCGAAAAGGCATAGATCAGGTGGAGGAAGCACAGAGTGTTGAACGGTGTCATTGTCTCGCTTCCCGTCGCGATGGCGGTTTGCAGGGCCTGGATACCAGTGTCCATGATGAGGCGAGGCGAGGCGTTCTGGAAGAGAAGAGCAAGCGTGTTCTTGGAGCAGTCGATGTCGCGAAGCTTGGCCAGAGACGTCATCACATGCGTCAACAGCAAGTCCTGTGCAGAGGCAGCCATGTCTTGAGCGTCGAGGAAGAGGGGATCAGCGTCGTTGTGAGTAGCAGTATTCGTACGGTTGTCAGCAACGTCGTCTTTGACAGGTATGGCAGAAGACCCTGTTCCTGGGGCCGGTGGTGGCAACGGCAACGGCATGGGCCGCTTTTGCTCTTCTATAGAACCCATAATGGCCGTGTCGAGCGGAAAGAGCAGGGCGTCGTTGGCAAGGCTGTCAAAGACATCGGTGAAGTCGCCAGCCATATCGGGAGCGTAGCACGACTCGAACGCCTTGGACAGGTCAGTAGACAGGCCAGATTCCGCAGTGGCAAAGAAGTCGGTTTCAAAGAAGCTGGAGAATTCATCGGCCGGCGAAGCCGACGTCGTCAGGTCACCAGTGGACGTGGACGTCGACCACGGGTTGGTGGCTGCGCCATGGCTGCAGTCGGACACAGGCGAGACGATAGAGGTGGCGTTGCTCATAAAGCTGGCATCGCTCACGTCGCTCATCAGACTGCCCATGCTCGCTGTGCTCGTGGTACTGGTCGTGCTTGTCGTCGAGCGGACCGATGAGCTGGGCGACAGGTTCTTGCTGCGCGGCGCCGGCGTCGTGCTCGTGGGGCGCTGCGGCCGCGTAGGCGGCAGTGGCGGGGGAGCCATCTGCAGACCCGCCTGCATGTCCAGCAGAAGCGACGGACGCTCTAGGATGGCCTCGCTTGGCGAGGTGTACAGCGTGGCATCGCTGCTCTGGACATCCATAAAAGACTGGACGTCAACTCCGTCAAGCGCACCAGGCATTGTCATGCCATTCGAAGAGGAGGCAACCGGCTCCCAGTCCATGAAGTTGGTCTGCGAAATGGTGGTCGAGTCCAACTCCGAGGGCAAAAACAGGTTCATCGGGTCGATGGAGGCCTGGCCCGCGATCGGAGAGACGGCGCTCATGGCCACTGGAGGGGTAGGACAGGCTGGCGGGGGCGTCGGTGACACGGTCGGTGCTATCGACGGAATGGCCTGAAGCGCCGGTGTGGACAATGTGATATCCGGCACAAAGTCCGGCTGCGTCGTCATGTTCACTGCAGACGGTCGTGTGCCTGCAGCCGAAGGGAAGGGCGACTGCTTGGGCATCTCGGTGAGTTCCCGCGAGTCAATCTCGACAATCTCGGTCGATGGCAGCTCGGCGTGCACGCCGGCATGCATCCGGGTGTTGATGTCCTCGTACCGAGGTGGTGGCTGGAAGCCCGTCCCGGAGAAGGGCGACGCCGATGAAGAGGAGCAGCTGGACGCATCCGCACCGCCAGGCCGGCCGTAGCTGTTGCTGCGGCTGTCGCTGGACCGGTTGCTGTTGCTCCGGCTGGTGCCGCTAAAGCGGGCGCTGCTGCTGCTGCTGCTGCCATTGCTGCCGCTCCGACTCAGATAGCCGCTGCTAAAGTCGAGGCTGTCCGGCGAGATGGGCGACACGGACGAGCACGGCATGCTGGCCGACGCAAAAGAGGGCGCGGGCGAGAGTCCCGCGTCAAGGCCGCCCTGGTCCACGACAGCCTTGCCCTTATTGTGGCCGAGCGACGTGAAGAAGCTCTTGGCCATGGACAGCATCTTGCGGCGTTTCGACGGGTGGCCGAGGCACTTCTTACACCGGCTGTCGTCGAAACGCTCGATGCGCATATGTTCGTAGCACCAGTATTCGCAGTATTCAAGACGGTCGCACGTGATGAGATGGCGCAGCATAGACTCGTGGTCCTGGAAGCGCTGTGTGCAGCGCAGCAGCGGGCACTCGAGGCGCTCGCCTTCCGTCATACGATCGCACGCATTGCGGCGGACCGCGGCCCACACGATAAAGCGCTGGGTCGCGCAGTCTTCTTTGGAGGTGGCCCTGGTCCTGTACGGGAGTTAGAAACGGCGGCCAGGCAAGACGGTCGACCGGTAACAATGACAGACGAGGGATCGCCCGGGCACTCACACGCAGGACATGGTGGGCGTATCCAGCCTATCCGAGGACATGGAGGACCGACTGGAGTATGAGCTCCGACGCAGGCCGAAGCGACCGCTGAGAGCGGGAGACTGTGGGCGCGAGCCAAAGAGCGAGAGCCCATCTTCTTTCATGAAAGAAGCGAACTTCTTTGGCTCCATGACGGTCGACATCGCGGCGGTCGGGGGCCTGTCGCGTGGGCCGATGTCGAGGTTGGGAGCGAAGGGGGATCGATAAGGGGTTCGGCCGCGGGCGTTTCCGTTGGGGGATGACTATCCGGCGCCGTCGAGGTACAAACGGCCGTTAGCGGGCAGAGATGGCCGAAACCAGGGGGAGGCAAGTCCTGGGGTGGCGAAAAGGGATGTCAAGAGATGCTACGGAGATGGTTGTGGCGATATGTCGAGATGGGAGGGATGGATAAGAGATGAAGCGTTAGGGGAGGAAGAGGCGGTGATGATGCGATTAAGTGATAACGTTTCCTTCCTTCTTCTTTTGGCAGGAACAGTCTTTGTATTGGCCAAATGCTAGGAAAGAGCCAAGTCGTGCCTTCCGTTGTCGTTTGTTATTTGCCACTGGTCAATCCTCGTCTCATTGCATATGTCGAAAACCGTCTCGTGGGCAAACAGAGCATAACAAGATGTGGCAAGGAACGAGACAAAATGACTGGGGAAAGTAGACGAGGGCAGGACAACAACGAGAAGAAAGGTGCAGGCGAAGCCCGGAGAAAAAGGCGTGCTGTGTCCACGACAGGGCCTAGAATGGCTCGAGTTGTCGGATTGTCCTACGAGGGAAACAGACACATCGAAAGTCCGAAACGCGGTCGCTACGGGGGGAAGGAAGGAAACGAGGCAGAAACAAAGGAAAGGACGATGGAGTCACGGCGGGAACGGTGCACAAACCAGGCGCAAAGCCGTTTCTGGATCAGGACTTCGTAGGACTTTCGCGTGGTGGATCAGTTGGGGGAAAGTGCGCGGGAGAGGAGGAAAAAAGAGGGGCGTCAGTGTTTCCCCCAATTTTCATTGGCTGAATAGCGGCCAGCAAGTCAGAACAGAACACTGTTGACGGCAGGAGCTTCACAGCGTCGGGGAAAGCAGGCAATGTCAGACGGTAAGCATTATTGGCTGCCTCTCTGAGCCCTGTCGGGCCAGTTTGTCTGGTTCTCTACCACTGCCGGGATCTCTCAGGAGGCCAATGGGTTGCCAAGCATGGACAGCCTGGGAAATGCGCGTTCGAAAGAATGAGACTGGCCGGATTTGGCGAGCCAAAGCAACTGGACGGCAGAGGGAGGCGGTGCGAAGCGTGAGGACTGGGTGGCAGAGCGGTGGCAGAGTGAGAGGCAGTAGCCTCAGGCGTGAGGAAGTCTGCCTTAAGACAGCTAGCCAATCAAAAAACAGGCACGCGATCACCCCACGGAGTAAGGCGGATTCCGTTCTGCAACAGGAAGTGGACGACTGCGGACATCGCAGCTGAAACACAGAAATACGAGATCAAGTATTTTATGTTGTCATACTCCGTAGGCGACGGATCAGTCGGTGGTAGGACTCGAACCCGTCAAGGACGGAAGAAATAGACCTCCGCTCGGGTAGATGCATTTCTGAGGACGTACGTCTTTGATGCATAAACTGATGGTCAAGGCACTTCTGTTGATCCGTTGCCGGCCGCGCCTTCCCGCGACGGTTCCGCTCGGGTCGCACGTGAGATGCATGCCAATGGGACAGCTGTGCAGAAGCGCACTTTCCGGAAAGGATGGGGTTGCAATACTCTGCACAGAGGATGCAGCCGTCATGTGGCATGCGTGAACATCTGTATCGCCGCGCATTTGACCGGCGTCAACACAACAAGGCCATTCCCGAAACAGCTCGGTAGACCAGGCGAGGCCAGCACCCGTCGACGGTGAGGATCCCCATCGGGCACAATCGACCGGCGGTGAGGGCAACGGGTTCAGTGCGGCGCATCACGAGTGGAGCATGTCATCGGTCTGTATTTCGTACAGCCATCCGTTCCAGTCCTTCTTTGGCTGTCGATGTGCCAAAGGATTTTTGTACTGAAGTCTCGGTTTCCATGTCTTCAATTCCTTTCTGTCCTTGTTCTAATGCGTCGCAAAGTCTGGCATGAGACGATTCGGGCTCATGGGTTATGGGACCGGCCTCACACCCACAGACATGTAGAAAAGAGACCCGAGAGGAGAATGAGAGACAACAGGAGAAAAGAAAAATGAACGGAAAGCAACGAAACCTCATTCGCGGTCCGTTCCTGGTGGGCCCCAGCAAACCGGCCATCGCCGGGCGAAATCGACATACTGTGTACATCTCTATCAAGAACCGGTACAGCTCGGAACGATACACGAGCTCAAGTTGTCTTGGCCGTGAGACGATTGCTGGATTCTACGCATTTGTCTGCGATATCAGCTTGTGCGCCAACTGACCAAGTGGGTGAAAAAAAAACAAAAGAGGGAAATCTGTCGCCATTCGCAGCGTCACATCGCCAAGACAGCCAACCAACAGACCATCAACTTCTCACTCATTTCAAGCGCTCATTGGCAGAAGAGACGAAGCCACCCTAGAACCCTGGAAATACGTCGTACTGAGTAATTCGTATACACCAGCTAATGGTCCTCTGTCCATCGGGAAGCCAGCGCTGCCCCAGAGCAGCCAATAGTCCAACGCTGTCTCGAAATCTATTGCCATTATGGAGCAGGCCAAAGCTTTGTACTTCGTAAACTTCCCAGACCCGACTCCCTCAGTCCCTGTCGCACTGCCGCACCACTTGGGAAGCAACGAGACAAGATACGACCAACTCAAAAGTTGCCACAAAAAAACGACGCAGAATCAGCGGCGAGACAGGTCACTTATCCAGCGCCCATATCTCACGATGCCATTGTGATGGAAAATGAGACTCGTATCTCGGGCTCTCTTGGCTACATTCCTCACCTCCTGCATCCTGTGTGGCCTTGGACTGCACTGTTCGCTTTCCGCACACCAGAAAAATTTTGCTCATGCACCATGCTGCGTTGCCATCTCCATTAGCACTCCCTGCTGTCTGCAGACCTCGTTGTAGACAGTCTTCTCCACACCACCCCCGAAGTGCGTGCTCCTCTTTGCCCAGAGCAATGTGCCCAAAAATCATTGTCGCCCCAAAATAAAACCACGCTTTCGGCACCCTAGTCCACCCAAGTATTGGATAGCTCCGTGCGTTATTGGACCCTAGACTGGGGTTGGTAGGCCGTGCGTGTCGCCCTTCTGGCTAGCGGCGCCAAACTGTTTGTCTGCGTGTGCCCCAACATGGTCAACTCGTCGTCGCGGTGCAGCTATTTGCAGCCTTCAGCAGCCTTCAGCAGCCTTTCCTGTATCTCCTCAAGCTCCACTCTTGTTGACGCTATCAACTACGAAGTAGCTACTCTTTCGTTTTTTTTTTTTTAGTTTTTTTTTTTTTTTTTTTTTTTTTCACTTTTTTGAGCTACTTTGTATGCAAGGGAGGCACGGAGGGGACACCATTCTACACAACAGTTCCGTTGCACAATAGCGGAACAGACAAGGGTTGGACCTTGTTGTAGCATGTTTTCCGGCGTTTCTTCTCTGCACCTTCGTATGGGGGATGGAATCTTTTGCAGTGTTTTTGTGGGCCCTTGTATTTCGATGTTTTTGTTGACTCCTGTCACCGTCATGTCTTGTCTTGTTTTCAAGGCAGGCTGTTACGTGTGCGTTTCGCCAGCTTTGTTCTCGGGAGCAACTTGTCTGTGTGCTCGTCGTATTTTGTCTGTGGCGATGCACACTCGAGAGTGATGATGGGGGAACAAGTCAACGGCTGGACGAGAAACGACTGACAACCACCGACCCATCCTGGCGACCTTATGTGTGTGTGTGTGGGAGGGTGGTGGTTCCTTCCGCCCAATCCAACCTGAGTGCATATCATACCATCGCGCCTTCCCAGTCCCAAGCGGCCGGATATCTTGTGAGCTCCCCTGTCTTTGCCCGTTCCACGTCGTAGTTGCCCGTTTTGATCTTCACTTCTGATTGACGGAAAGTGCAACTTGCGCAATCTCGCTCCTTCAAGTCGTTCCTTCTTCAAGATCCCCTTCCCAATGCCATATATCGTCGTTGCTTGTCCCCTTTCCAAGTCTTTGTTCTCCTTCGCCTTTGCCATCTTTTCTTGAATCACCTCCAGCATCGTCTCCTCGCCAGCCTTCTCCAATCCCTTTGTCAACATTCCCACTCCCTCCCTCTCCCCCTCTTCACTTCCTCCCTTTCTAATTCACGAAACATGCAGCCGGCTGCCAACTGCGGCATCTAGTTCCCTTGTTCCCCTGTCACTTCGTCCCTCGTCTCTTGTTCTCGTCGACGCCTCCATCTTATCTTCCAACGATCCTGGCCACGCGGGCCCGTCTGAGCTTCTCGCGACCGCAGTTCGCTCTCTGTGGCCGTTGTGGAGGTCTGTCGACTTTTCCTTGTTGGTCGTGTTGAGTGTCCCGTCTGTCCGTTTTTACACAAGCGCCGCGTTGCGTTCAAGTCGTCTTCCCTGCCGAGAAACAAGGCTCTTGAGACCCCTCTCCCACACGCCTCGCCAATCCAATCATCCCCTAAACCACTCCCCCTCTCATCCTGGAAAGCGTCTGGTTTGGACTGGCCGGGTCTAGCCCTTTCAGCAAAACGCCCAGCTGCTCTTAATCCTTTTGGATCCAAACGAAAGGAGACAGCCGCCAATAACGAACAGGGAACGAGAGTGTTCCTGGTCGAAAATAAAGAGGAGAGAGTATACACCTTTTTGTTTCGTCGTCGTTTGCAACATCTCGAACGAAATATAGATAGTGGGCACCCCGTCTACTTGTATTTTCCGGGCCGTTCTTTTTCTCTCCTGTTATTTTATTGTTGTCTTTTATCGCCTCCCGCCATGCTCTCTGTCGTTCATCGCCCAGCGAATCTAGCTTTCGGCCTGTCGTCCAATGAAATGGACGCGTCGCACCACATGGCGGCCGTCATGGAGGTTGATCTGAGAGCCTGTCAACCCAACACGCTGGTCGACAGGATCAACGCCGTACCGGCCTTCAAGACAAGTGCTGGTAAGTCGTTCTTTTTTTTACCTGTCACGCTTTTTTTTCACGTCTTTGCGCTCTTCTTTCCCCTTTCCGGGTTTTCATTTGCTCTTTTCCCGCCTTCCCTGTCGTTCCTCGCGCTTCTGTCGCGTGTCCTCTCGTCCCCTTTGTGTGCTCCGCCTGGATCTGGAACCTTTCAGTCAATGGTGTAAAGGTCGAGACCAGACTGGATACATTGAAATAGCTGTCATCCCGTGTGCAACATACAAAGACCGTACTTACCTCGGTCAGTAAACTGGGACGCCGAATGTTTTTTTTCTTTTTCTTTTCTTCGCTAGCGAAAGAGAATAAAAAGGGCCTTCGTGTCTTCTTTTCGAAACACTTTCGTTTTTGCGTTGCAACATTTCGTACCGAAAGACACATTTTACCCAACTTTATTCTACAAACCATAAACTCTAACAGCCGGCCAGCGTTCTTCTCATTTCTGCGGGCAAACCTCGTCCTCCCACATTCCGAGATGTCCTCCAACGCCAACACCCCAGTGCTGGGTCCTGTCACCCACGGGAATAAGGGCAGCAGCGCAACCACAGCCACGACCACGACCAAATCAGCGCCGAGCGGCGCAGCAGTGAACCTGGACGACATCCCCCCGCTGACTCTGGGCGTTATGACCAGCCGTGCCGACAAGGTCGATGCGCTGCAGCTTGTCGCCGACAGCATTGCGCAGCAGCGCCAGACTTCGTCGCGCAGCATGGTTTTTCACCCGCTTAGTCTTGCCGGCCTGGCCGCCGGCCTCGGTATTGCCTACAAGCTGAACCCGCGGCCCGATCTGGGCATGACCATGACGCTCTTGTCGGGTGTTGTCATGACCTACCTCCTGAGCATTCGCTATTTCAGCGCGCAGTACATCCCCATGGCCGAGAGCCTGAAGTGGGACTGGATCGTGCCGAAGAACGACGATGGCAAGGTCGAGCCGGGCGCGGAGGAAGACACCGTTATCGGTGCCCGGTATGGCGAGGAGATGATTGGCGCATTGGTACTCCGGCTAGTTCCGCCTGCAGCGGACGAGCAGGGTTTGAGCACGTCAGCCGCAGCACCACCACCCAATACATCGCGCAAGAAGAACAACAACAAAGCCTCACAAGCCGCTAGCGACAGCCACGTCAAGGGCGGCCACGGCGTCATTCGTGCCTGGACAACCCGTCTTCGCTATCGTCGGCGCGGCATTGGCGGTGATCTTCTCCAAGAGGCCATTCAAGTGACACGCGAGCGTTGCGGCAAGGATGCCAATGTCGTCTTTGCGGAGGCGCACGCAAACAGTGTCATGGTTGTGCCCGAGATGTTCAATGGCCCTTTCCGTAAGGTTGAGCAATGGGCAGTGGGTGCGCTGGAAAGGGCTCTGGCCAACCCGGTCCCTCCCAAGAAGCTGTAAACGATGGAAGATGAGTCGACATCATCCGGTTGTCAGCCGGTTGGCAGCCGAATGCCGAAAGAGCTCCGATCCGAAAGGTCAAAACTTTCCATCCCAAAAAAGAGCCACTGCGGCCCCTTTCGTTTCCTTTCCCTTTCGTTTAATTAACCTCTCCACGACCAAAAACAGCATTTTTTACCACATATATTTTTTATTTAATACCTCAGATACCCCTACATTTTATATTTATATTATTATGACTTTTCATGTCATATCCATAGTTTCAATAGCTATACGCTCAAGTATTTACTCGAACAATTGTTTTCAAAAGGTGTACTGCGCATGCAACATTTCAGTGCCTTGTTCCTACTCTGTTGTCACCAAATATTATATGGGCACTTGTGTTCAACTTGCATAACCAAAGTATATTTCTGCATCAAGGGAGTCAGCTAGCATCTATCGTCAGCCTGTTCCCCTTAATTATCCCTTCCAAGTATTAGCATTATATGCAGCTTTGGCCCAACAGCGTCGTCCGGGAAGATGTCATACAAGTAAAGTAGCCCACATGTAGCACAAACGAAACAAGGCGTGCCCATTCCCTCCCTATTTTCTGGTACGCATAACATTGTGTACATGTCCCATGCGGTAATATATATGCAAAGATGTCAATGAACTGTGTAACAAGTGTGGTCTGTGTCGAGTGGTAGATGGTGTGGTAACGGGTGCGTCCTGCCATGTGCGTGCCGCGTTGTACATGGATGCATGTACTTGATCATTGCCAAGGTCGAAGAGCCTGTCGAGCGTACAGCGACAGGAGCACAAGCCGGTAAAAGAGAGAAGGGAGACAGAAGAGAATTAATTGATGATTGGAGTAAACCGTATGCAGCGGGCAAGGAATAAATGACATAGGACGGGGGAAAAAAATCAGAAAAATAGGACGAAGATAACTAGAAGATGTGCATCCAACCACAAAGAGACGAGGGGACATGACGTGACTTTAATTAAAACGCGAAACAACAGGACATGCGACATAAGACAACAAAAAAAGAACGAGAGGCGGCAGCCGGACCCGGACAGTCTACGAGATGAACGTGGCTTCGGCAAACAGCAGCCCCGGCTCAGACACCTCGGGCGCGTCGCCCTTCTTGATCTTGAGCGCCAGCTTGGTCTGGCGCGGGTAGTACTGGTAGATGAAGGGCTTGGTGCCGGCGACGCTGCCGGCGATCTTCTTGACGATGCCGGGCACCTCGGCCATGACGTCTATCCGGTCCAGACGCTCCTCGAGGCCGCCCTCGAGCACCGCCTCGACCTGGCTGCCGTCCTTGGCGGTGCCGGACCAGGTGTACTTGACCTGGGTCGGCTCGGGCCAGTCGTTCTCGGAGTCTTCCTTGGTCGCCACGTGGGTGGCGGTCGCGTCGGTCCCGGCAAAGAGAATCTCGCCGTCGCGCGCAAGGCAGCCCACGGTGACGACGGTGGAGGCATACGACGGCGGGGTGGTGAACTGCATGAGAACGGCCGAGTGCTCGGGGCCCTGGAAGTTGGCAAAGTTCCAGCGGGCAGCGAGATGGTGGGGCTTCATGCCCTGCAGGGCGTGGATGAAGAGGGCGCGGCCGCCGGCAAAGTCAATGGGCCCGTCCTCCTTGGTGGTGATGGTGCCGGAGGCGACGCAGCGGGGCCAGAAGACATGGCGCATGGAGCCCCAGGGGTTTGTCAGATCGGTGCCAAACAGCGTCTTGCCGGTTGTGCCGGCCTGGAAGCCGGGGGTGGTGCGCTTGATGACGAGGTTGACGACGGCGCGGTCGTCGTTGTGGGACTTGATGGAGTACGAGGTGCCGTCCTCGGACAGCTCGACGGCGCAGTCGGTGGCGTAGAAGGACTTCATGTCCTCGCTGAACTCGGGCTGTGTGAGGGGCGTGGAGCTCCAGAGGGTCTCTTTGTTGGCGTCGTTGACGTAAAAGATCTTGGTGTTGAACTGGCACGTGGTGCGGATGCCGCTGGAGGACGAATGGCAATGTTAGGATTCATGCAACGGGGGAGGGAAAAGAAGAGAAGCGAGTCAATGTCGGGGGGTAAAGCATACGCAACGTTGTTGTAAATGACCTGGACAAAGATGGCCGGACCGCTGTCCGAGGTGATGTAGAACACCTGTGTCTCAACACAGGTCGACTCCATGGCGGTCCACTTCAGGTCGTCGGAGGTGGTCTCGGTGTAGGGCGTCTCCTTGGTCTCCTCGGCCACGGACCGGATGGCGGACGGCCCGTAGTCGGGCTCTTGGGTGCCGGCCACATGGGCGAGTCTGCAGGCCAGCGGCCGATGTTAGCGTCCGAGGACAGGCTGATATCAGGACAGACGGCTGGTCAGAGAACGGGGAACGGGAGAGGGCAACGAACGTTTGCTGAGCCCACTTGAACATGTTGGGCGGTCTGTATGAATATGGAGATTGCGAGGGTTAAATGCGGATTGTTTAGTTAGGGAAAGCGATAGCTGGGATCGATGCCGCCGTGATATCGATTGAGGCCGGTCTCTGGACAAGAGGATGCGTCGAAGGAAGGGATGGCGGTCGGGACCACAGCAGTTTGTATGGCGAGACAAGAAATGGATGGCCTGGTTGGTCTGGCAGTTTTTTTTGGAGGGGACGTTTCTTCACCGCCAAAAGTTGCAAAGCTGCAAATGCTACAAATGCTGATACTGTTTCGTCTTGCCAGGGAGAGGGGAGCACCCAGGCCGTCGTTGGTAATAATGGGCAGGAGCGAAAAGGAGGAAAGGCTCAGTCAGGCCCGTTCTCTGTTCTACAAAGGCAAGAACCAGACTGAGTGAGTTTTTGGGATAGCGCCTTCCCGGTCCATAAATCACAACGGATCACTGAGGAAGGAGCAAATAAGGTCGCGGGACGTCACGGTCTGGTGGGCTCTTGTGGAGTGGCACTTTTTGCGTTGTTCGTTTAGGCCTGTTGCTCTTTCCATTTCTTGTGCCTTTGTGAAGGCACTGCTCTGGTGGGGCAGGCTTGTGCTGCCAAAAGACAATAACGGCTAACGGTTACCCCTCCAGGCCCCGATCGTGCCTGCCTGGAGCGGGCGTAATGTGGCTGGCAAGGGAAAGGTGGCGGGCGTCATTGTGAACTGTGATTAATCCATTCGGCGCACGTCTTATGGCCCCTGCTTTGCGGTGTAATACGACGCCTATCCTTGCTGCAGGCGCCTTGCTCCAGTGGCTTGGACCTTCTGTATTCCACCCCGCCCACCGAAGTCGACGATCAGACTGCATTTGGCAATCCGGTCAATTCATCGTTGTTCTATGTTGTAGCTTTACTCTCAGTCGGTCACGGAATTTTCGATTAGCTGTTGTACGCTATTCAGACTGACGCATTGTTGGACCTGGACAGTGCGATGACTGTAGTTCAAGGAGACGCACCAGAAGATCAAAAGCACGACCGACACCTAACTGTTGAAAGAAGATATCCTTCTAAGCGTCGGTATTGGAACCACGTGACTGGTCATACAATCTGCTGCACACTCTACAGGCCCAGGTTCGATTCGCGGCCGACGCCGTTGGGTTTCTCTTTTCTATTTTGCACATTACACAGAATAGATTTCTCCCATTATCTTCTCTTTTACTGAGTGGTGTGATCTTGTTCGGTTGTTTTGTTACTTTATTCTTCTTATTTCCTCTGGGCGTCGATAAGATTGTGGCACGTGACCAGTTAGTTTCAGTGGGTCCGGTTTTTCTCTGCTCAGATTCTCGTTTTCGAGATTTCGTAGTAGACAATATCTCCTAGCAGGTCTACGACAGCGACGCCGACAACGACGACGACGACGACGAGAATCCCTCTGGCGACAGCGCCGTACCGTTTATCGAGTTCGAATCGTACTCCATACACGCTGCAACCATGTCAAAACGCGCGGCCGGTCCTGTGGACCAGATGATCAAGCTGATTGTCGGCGCCGGCCAGGCCACCCCCAGTCCTCCGGTCGGCCCGGCGCTCGGCAGCAAGGGTATCAAGTCCATGGACTTTTGCAAGGTGCGCTCTACTTCTGGCTGCTCGTTTGGTGCTGCAGCCTCCTCTTTTCTCGCGGGGCCACTTGCTAACGCACCCCTTCTCTTTAGGAGTTCAACGCGCGCACCGCACACCTGACGCCCGGCACGCCCATGCCCGTTCGCGTCATCGTCCGTCCTGACCGCACATTCTACTTTGACGTGCGCACGCCGCAGACCTCGTGGCTGCTGCTCAACACCGCCGAGGTGCCCGAGGGCAAGGGCGGCAAGCGGCGCGGCGCGCAGAACCCGGGCAAAGAGACAGTCGGCACCGTCAGCCTCAAGCACGTCTACGAGATTGCCAAGATCAAGCAGAGCGAGCAGCGGCTGTCGGGGCTCTCGCTGGAGAGCCTGTGCCGTTCGATCATCTACCAGGCCAAGTCAATGGGTGTTGCCGTGGTGGCATAGCGGACACGGACGTCGTCCTGCTGCTGCGTTTCCCATGTCGCGTCTCCTCCCCCTTTGGCTCTCCCTTTCTCTGTACATTTTGGACATGGGTTTGTACGATACCTCTTCTTTTCTGTCTTGGCAAGCTGTGGTGTAGGATATAGGACATACACATGCAAAAAGCATGTCTTTTGTACGTTGTCGCGGCAACATTTATGAAGCGAGCATATAATCAAAAATGCATTTGACGTTACAAGGACATCTGCTTGCCTACTACCCAGCAGTAAAGATATACTTCATCAGGAAAATGTGTTTGTACTGTTGTGTTCTTTGCCATTGGCCTACAAACAGATAACAGATCAGAGTTCTCCGTAATTACGTCGCAGTAAATTTGACCAAACTAAACGCCTGCGATCGGCGTGGATTTGCTGACGCCAGCACGCAACGGCTAACACCGTTCCATGTTCCACTCAGCCTTGCAACAGCCACCAAAGCATCGGCCGCAAAAAATCGAGCGCAATTGACGTGGAAGCTGTTCCTGACTTTATGATATTCTGCCACCACCCAACGTCTCCTTTGTATATCGGCGTGTGGCTTGCCTTCTTAATTGGATTTGCGGCTTGTCCATTGCTCCTGCCTTCTAGGCCTCTGCGCTGACGCCGCGCCTTGCCCCACTTTTCTATCGCCCACAGCCGCATCATCGACGACGCTCGCGATAAACGCATCCTCCTCTCCATCACCAAGCACACCGACCAGGCGCCAGCGGTCGCCTTCCCAGCCTCCGATATTTGTATGTCGTGCTGTCCATTCTGCCGCATTGAAAGCCACGCTTCTCACGCCCACGCCAGGACACCAGCACACCAGCACACCAGCATCCCCTCGCGGCTCCAGCCATGGCTTCCCTCATGGACAGCAGTTCACTGCCGGCTGCTGGCAATGCGCCACACGCCTTATCTGCGTCACCGTCCGAACCGGAGTCCGGTGTGCGGTCCGCTGGTCGCACCGGCCCCGCCTCGGGCAAGACCAAAGGCACCCGGGGGGCTGCGTCTGCCGCCAACAAGCCGGTGAAGGCGTCCAAAACAAAGACGCCCAATGGCGCCAACAGCGAACACCGCAAGGAGCAGAACCGCATTGCCTCGCGGAACTATCGTAAGCACCCTCCTTGATCTGCACAGTGTCGTCCCATGCAGTCCCAGCACGAGTGGGATATGTTGGGATGTATTGCTGACGCCAGCCGTAGGGGAAAAACGGAAGCACAAGCTGGCTCTGCTGCAGCAGATCCTCTACGATCCATCAGCTAGCGACAGTGTAACCGAGGCGGCCGCTGCCGCATCGACGCCAGTGCCCGCACCTGCACCTGCACCTGCACATACGACTGTGCAACCTGCGTTTGGACCGTACACAGACGGTACAGCGCCCTCGCTGGCCGATAGCCTGGACGAGTTGACGGGCATCTTGCCCGACTTCCAGCCCATCATATCTGGCTTGATCTCCTCGAACATGCTGCCGCCAGAGACAGCAACGACGTCAGACACCGCAGCAGCCTCCATAGACGCAACGGCCGCTGCACAGGAAGCGCAGCCCTCGGACGACTTCGCGGCCTGGGCTGCCTCTAATCTGCCAGCGGCGATCGCGGCAAACTCACCCCGCGCCAAAAGCTCCGCTACTCCACCGTCTTCGTCGTCGTCCACGTCTGCATCTGCATCTCGATCTACAAAAGCCACCGTGCCCACGCTCTCCACATCCTCTGCCACCACATCTGAGTCTCTTCTTGATTTGCCTATGCTCCAGCCGTGGCTCATCCCCTTCTCCAGTGACCAGAACAGCTTTACGCCCTTCCTCACGAATGCGACACCAAACAACGGCGTGACGTCTTCCTCCTTTTCGGCATTTACGCCGGCGGACATCGCTGCTGCTGTTGCACCTGCCTCATCAACGCCAAAAGCCCGCTCACAACCAATGCCGAGCGGCTCAACGGTGCTCGAGGTGGACGACCTTGACGAGACGTTTGACCCGGGCGTGGACGTCGACCAGTTTATGACCGGCACCGACAGCCACCAGCAACACGGCAACGGCGTATTCTCAAGCTTGCTCTCGCGGCCCGACTGGTCCACGTCATATTATGCCGCCCAGAGCTACCAGAACTTACACGGTACCTTCGCGTCGGGGCCCCAGCCTACCTCACTTGCTGGCGCCGCCATGCCGCTGCCCCAGCCGACCACAAGGCCCAGCACAACAACACTCCCTTCCCGCCCCTCGCCGCGCCCCCTCTCCCAGACACTCGCACCGCCCTCGGCGGCCGCAGCCACGTCGTCACCATCCGCGCTGCCACCAAACGTCTTGCCATCCGCCATCGCCTCGCCCGCAGCAGTAGCAGGCGAACCGTCGCGGAAGACACGCAAGAAAAACCGGCCCGTGGTTCGCGCCATGTTACAATACGTCCAGACGCTCTCACCGCACCAGAAACGGCTCATTTTGCAGGCTCTTTTGGACGGAGAGGGCGGTGGCGGCAGCGGCGGCGAGGGCGAAGGAGCGGACGGCGGCGACGGCACGGCCGAGCTGGGTGACGGCGATGACGAGCGCGTGGAGGAGGTCGAGAATGCCGGCGACGACAGCGACGGCAGCAACGACGGGACAAGCAATACGAGTGGCAGCGGTACGGGCAAGGGCGCACCCAAGAAGACGGCTTTCATCTCGCGGCGCGAGGATCGCTTCCGCCAAGTTGTCGCCCGCTGGAACAACGGCCGTTTTGCGGGCCCAGCAGGTGGGGGCCCAGCGGCGGGTACTTCCTTTTCGTCGTCATCGTCTTCGCCGTTTTCTGGCACCTCGACAACAGACGCGGCCAGCTATGCCGCGTTGACCCTCAGCAGCTACGACAGGCCCAACGGCTTGACCAGCGCCATCCACAATCAACCGCCACCCAGCGGCATCTATGGCACCAGCTTTGGCGCGGATCCCATGGCCGGGTCCTATTTCCCCGTCCCGGTCATGTACATGAACCTACAGTGCCGCCGCATGGGCTTCCGTGCCGCCGTCTGGCAAAACTGCCTCGCCTGCGGCCTCGCGAATCCGGACGCCTTGTTTGACGAAGCCGCCTGCTACGACGAGGAGCTGGAGCCGCAGAGCCCCTTTGCCCTCCAGGCCGACGAGGCGCGCGCCGTCGTGCTGCAGGGCGCGAACCGCATTACCGCGGCCGTCACGGCCGTGCGCCAGAACCTAGCCCGCGCCGGAAAGACCCCGCCGCGCGACCTGCAGCCGGTCGACGCCCAGATCCTCGTGGCCCACCATCCGTACCTGGACGTCATCCCGTTCCGCGGGTTCCGCGCGCGCGCACTGGCGCTGCTGGCCGAGATGGAGGCGGCCGAGGAGGTGGCGGCCGCGGTGGCCGCCAACAACAACGCCGACGGCGTGGGCACGCCACCGGGCAGCAGCCGCAACGAGACGCCGTGTCTCTTGGACGAGGACGAGCTCTGCTACGACATGAACGTGGCCGAGGGGTTGGTGTGCTGGGGCTCGCAGACGGGCAACGACGGCGCAGGCTTGTCGTCGCAGGCGAAGCGAGACAGTGGCTCGGCACGGGACATGCGGGCGTGCCTCCCGTGGGACATGCGCAGCTGGGAGCCGCAGGTATGGTTCCTGAAAAAGTACTGGTTCCTGGTCGGCGGCTGGGACGACGATATGTGGCGCAACTGCCGGTGGTGGCACAGCATGCGCGGCGATGAACTGGACTATTCTGTGTTTGCGTTGCCCGGATATTAAGCGCTGGCGGACGATGGAAGACGGTATAAGTGATGTCTAACGTATTTATGATGGCAACCTATGAGGAACTCCCAAGGGATGAGTATTGGTCTAATCTCTCCTCTTATTTCTTGACGCGTTTGACTCTTTCCAACAGGTCTGAATTTATGATGATGTCTACAGTCGATTTTTGTCGTCAATCGTAATTTCGTAATGCGGTGCAGGTGTCTCTTTATTCCTCGTCAAGGTCTCTTTGCATTTCGAGTTCTGCACTGGTTAGCAGGCATGGTCGGATGGTAGGGAGTGGCGATTGGCGACCAAAAAAAAAAAAGAGGGAGAGAGAGAGAGAAAGAGAACATACGCCATATTCGGTTGGCCGATTCGGTGATGATATGTGCCTTCTCAAGCAGCTTCTCCTTGAACTTGGCTTCGTCACGGTCACCGCCGAGCCGTGCTTTGTTCGCCTGTGCCTGCAATAGTACGGGCAGCAAGTCCTGCGGGTCTGCATTGGCCACCGCTGCCACGGTCTTGAACCCGTTCTCCCAAAAGACGCGTCTGCTGGTCAGTTCAAGCCTGCGTGGAGAGTCATAAAACATAGGACACAGGGGGTCTACCTACGCTGTCCGACTCTTAACAAAGGCAATGCGAGCCAGGGCCAGCAGGTCCGCTTTGGCACCCGCTTTGAGTCGGTCGACAAAGTGCTCCAGCACAGAAGACATGGCACTGTCTCGTTAGAACTATGCACAAAAAGGGGAGGAGAATGTTTGACTTACCCCCATCCCATGTGCTCGCAAAACTTGATCATGCCGGCGGCAAACCCTTCACAGGTCTGTGCCAACGACTGCACCGCACCACGCGGGGTGTTATACTTTTGCGCCACGCGATGCACTGGTATCTCGTTGCAGAGATCGCGCAGCTGCAGCGCCAGGTAGAACCGCCGGTAGATGCGCGCCGTCGCCTTGTCCGCGGCTGTCGTCTCCTTGAGCGTGCCGCCGTGCTGCATCTTGCTGATCACGCTCGGCTTGAGGCCCAAGAACCGCAGCACCCGCAGCCCGCTCTCGTCGAGCCCTTCCATCTCGGTCCAGAACCGCCGCCAATCGATGCCGCCGCTCCCAGCATCGTGCACGGGCGTAAAGGTGTACAGAACGTGCATCTCGCCGTCGAGGACGAACGCCTGGAGGGCGCGTTGGAGCTCGCCGTGGATGAACAGGGCGTCGGCCGGATCGAGCGCCGAGGCCACGACTGCCTTGCCAAGGCGACTGGGCTGGAAGTTGTCAAACTCGTCCGTCTCGACAAAGCCAGTGGCTTGCAGAGCCGCCAGGCTGGACGCGACGTCCGCCTCAAGACTGGCCGGCAGGTCTGGGTCATCCTCGCTGCTGCTTTCCCTACACCCGGCCGATTCACTTATCAAAGCATGGAAGAGCAGAGTCTTGCGCACGTACGACGCGAGGGACTCACGGCTCGTTGCTAACCGTACCGCAATTACCTCCAGGAGCGCCCGCTGCAGCCGCCTCTTGTTTACCTTTGTGTGGGTCGGCCCTGGCTCGTCCTTCTTCGGCTTCTTATGCGCCGGTTCGTCGGCGTCGGTGTCGTCTCCCGCGAGACAGCTCGACACGTGCGGCAGCTCAGCCTGCATGAGATCGACTACGTCGTCCACGTCGGCGCTTCGACAGCACAGATATGTCTCGCCGAGCTCGTCTTTGCCCTTGCGTCCAGCACGGCCCCGCATCTGCCGCAGCATGGCCGGCCCGACGAGCTCCCGGCCCATGCGGGCATTGTGCAGGATGACGCGGCGCGCCGGGAGGTTGATGCCGGCGGCGAGGCCGCATGTTGCGACAATAACCTTCAGCACACCCATATCGTAGGAATGGGCCACGAGGTCACGCTCCTCCGTGGTCATGCCAGCGTGGTGGAAACCGACACCCGCAAGAATCGTGTGGCCGAGGTTGGTGTCGACGCCGCCGCCGGCCATGACGGCCTGCAGCTCGCCGAGCAGGTCGAGGCGGGCCCCCCACACATCGGGTCCCAGCTCCTCCGGTGTGGCCGGCAGAACGCGGCTGATCAGCAGGGCGTCCGACTCGGAGGCAGCGCGGCTGCTGGCAAAAACGAGCGCACCATAGCCAGCGCGGGCCGTTTCGTTTGCGAGGGCAACCACCGCATTGGTGACGGGGTCGTGTAGGGATTTGTGCTCGGCAGGAAGGATCCTCCGTAGTGGGGCTGTCAAAGGAAGCTTGATGGTTTTGATTTCCTGTGATGCGCTGAAACTGCCATTGCCATCGGCTGTCTGGGCCAGAGCAGCCTCGGCCGAGTAAATGCATCCGTCGTACACGAGATGCTCTTCAATCGGGACAGGCCGGTATTTGGTCTGGTACGAGAAGGCCCCAAGCCACTGGGCAAGCAGCTCGATGTTCTATGAAAAAAAAGAGTCAGAAGCGGCTACTATGAACATCATGGATTGGACTGGGCTTGTGCCGGGGCTTACATTCAACGTCGCGCTCATGCCGACAATCTGGACGCTGTGCTCCAGACACAGCAGCTTCGTCGCCAGCAGCTCGAGCAGGTATCCGCGGTGAGCGTCGTCGACCATGTGCAGTTCGTCAAGCACGACAACTTTGAGGTCGCCGATGGTGCAGTCGTCGATGGCTGTGTTGATGAGAGCGTTGGCCTTTTCGATGGTCGCGACGCCAATGTCAAAATCGGCCCAGAGCGCACGGATCTTTGCGCCGCCAAAGAAGCCGACAACGCGCAGGCTGTCGCCTTGAAAGGAGACGCCCTGGACCACCCGCCGCAGCCATCGTACCTTTTCCTGCACCAATGCAACAAATGGAAGTACGAGTAACGCCTTGGGCCGGTTGGCTCGCCCCGGGCCTCGCCCCAGCGGGCCAATCGACATGGGCGGCGTTGTTTCGCCGTCAACCGAGGTCAAGACGCGGCGCAGCATGAGGACATCGGCCACGAGCGACTTGCCGCCACCTGTTGGCGCTGCATAGACCAGGCTGCGTGTTCCGTCCAGCAGCTCACCCCGGCCGGCTGTCCCACCATCGCTTCCGCCGAGCAGACACTGCTTTTGCCATGGGTAGACGGAGCGGATGCCCATGCCGGCCAAATTGGCGACGACTTGGGGAGGCAGGCCGTAGCAAGCGTGGGAGAGCGACAGCATCGGATCCTGTGCCGCCGACGGCGTGGCACTCAGCACGCGCCGTTGTGAGTACTCGGTCGTGCCGTGGAGCAGCCAGGACGGTGCCGGCGTGGGTGTCCGTGTCGGCTTTGCAGAGGGCGACTCTGTGCTGGCATCAACGGCATCAACGGCATCAACGGCATCAACGGCATCAACAATGGTACCAGCCGTCAGGCGCGATGGCATCATCGGGAGCGAGGTCACGGCCGGTTGCTTCTTGGTCGATGGGGATTGGCCGGGCGGCTTCAGAGGCCCACGTAGTGCAGGTGGTGGTGGTGGCATGGCCACGAAGCCAGGGTGGTTCACCGTACCTGAGTTGCTGACATGGCTGCTGTTGATCTCGTCATCTCGGCGGCGCTTGATTCCAGCGGCAAAGGTCGTTGTGGCCGACGCAGTCGCAAATGTCGTCCCGGAGGAGGACGTCTGCTGCCGGCGAACAGCCTGTTCGGACGTCTGGTGCCATACGCCGTAATGGTTGCCCGCCATGGAGCCGGCCAAGCATGGCTGAGCAGAGCGGCAGCGGAGGACGACAAGCGAGATGGAACACAACCAAACTATGGCAAAGCGCAGAAGGGGCGTTGTGTTACAAAAAGAAGAAAGAGAAGAAAACACGATATGAGGCAAACCTGGTCAATCGAGGCAGGCTGCAACCAAAACAACGCAGTAGCAAAGTCCCTTATCTTGATGGGACGGCTCGAAATGCCAGGTTTGTTTCTATTCTTGTAAACAATCGCGAACGGTTCAGATCTACGCCATTCGATGCATTGCGTGCTGTCCTGCCGTGGCAGGGAGGAGGGCCGGTCGCGCTTTCCGTGTCGCGTCTTTCTCTATTGGTACAGGGGTACTTGGTGCATGCGGGAAGGTGCGTTGCAGGAAGCGTTTGGTGCTTGGTCCCCTCTGGCCCCATACCCCACCGCCACGCCAAATCACGTGTGGGTACGTCGGGAATACGACAGTGGAGGAAAGTACAACATACAAAGGGATGCAAAAAGGGAGGCGGAAACCTTGTCGCACAGCCATGTTCCTTCCAGATTAGCGGATTTTGACCTCACCTCTTGCCGACGCCAGATGAGTCTTTGATTTCCCGGTTTCAATTTCAACTGTTGGATTACTTTGCGCAGTGAGGCCATCTTTTGACATTCGCGTCGTTTTGTCACCAACGATGCATGATGCACTTCCACATTTGTTTTCCCTTGCTATGTTTTCCCTTTCCCTTTTGCCCTCCCTGCATAATGTGCGGGCGTTCGCTCCATGTTTCAGCCTGAGCAGAGGAAAGCGAAAACAAGAAACGCGAAACTGGACGGGAAAGGAAAGGAAAAGAAACAGAAAGAATCTGAGATGAGCACATGGACAGAATCAATGCCTGCAGTGTCGCTGGCAGGCGACGGGTCTTGACCGCTGTGTCGCTGGGCAGGCCCCCGACAGGCGGATATCGGTTCGGCCACTGCAAGATTTGCTGGCAACAGGGATCCGGCTGGAGAGGCGTCAAGACATTTCAACCTTTGCAAACCAGGCCGTTTCCATGGCTGTGGAGGAGTTCTTTCTCGTTTTTTTTGTCGTCTCTCGTATTTCCCGCACATTTGACAGGTTAAATGTGCGTCCTCATCGCGATTTCCAATTTTTGCGACATACTGTGTACTCTGCCTATTGGCGTCCTCTGCATATTATTGTGTGTTTTCGCAGTCTGTCAAAAAATGCATTGGGCTGGCAATATAGGCAAAGAGAGGCAAAAAAAAAACTGTGTCGTCCCCAGCCATGACATGTTGGTACCTTATATTGACTGATCAACAGCCAGTAAACAGGGAACCTGCCCGCACTACCGGCATATAAATGGCATGAAAGG